ATGTGGTTTTAGTTTTAGTAGAGGTTTTACGGCACTCGCAACTGCATAAGGTCACATGAGCACCAAAAGATTAGAGGTTTTACAAGAGAGTAGTAAACATAAAAAAGAAGATGGGAGATAAGGACTATAGATGTTTGATAGGAAAGAAGAAGCAAACCACACCAGAGCACCCGCCAACCACCTACTTTGTATGTGGTGTGAGGTGCTGTGACACCGTTTGCCCTCTTTTTGTCACCAACGTTCATATTGTGGGTGGTTGGCGGGCGCTCTGGTATGGTTTGCTCCTTCTTTCCTATCAAACATCTGCCCTCCTTCTTTTTTTGTGTATGTGACTCTCTCGTAACACATAATCTATTCTTCGGCACTTATATGACTTTATCGTGTTTCAAGTGCCATAAAACTCTAACTAAAACTACAAATGTTCATAATTTGGCGTTTTGTCGTCTCAAGAATGGAAAAAAAATGATCTTTTGTTTTATGTTAAAGTCTATAGTATGACATTGATCAACAACCTACTTTGAAAAACGCTCACCCGTATTTGCCCTTTCTTTTCTGCTCCAAATATTGAAGGAAGAAAAACTGCGCTGCACAGGAGACAACCTTTGAATTCTATTTGACTGGGTTCCTAACCATAGTTATCACGACGCGATGGAATCAGGCGCTCGTCAATTTTTGGGCATGTGGAGTTATAGGTATCATCTGAAAATTGATTTATTTACCTTGCCTCTTATGAAATAAACATCAAGATATTTGCGATTGAAGGAAGTGAGGTCGCTTGGTTTCAGTGGTGAAATTAGCGAGAAAATGGCCGCTGAGGTTTGATAACTCCATATAGCTAAAGAGTCCTTGAAAACAGAAAAATGACGTATTTTAAGCCTTTAATCAATGTTTTCCCATTAAAATTCACCTGGAAATGTGTTTTTATATGGACATAAAAGAGGTTGAGCCAAAAAATAAAAATTTGATAAAAAATTCCAAACTGACAAAAAAATCCATCTGTTTCTCCGATTTCTGTATTTTGACGAGCGCCTGATTTCACCACGCTGCCTCACTGATTACGTTTCGTTCCACTGAAGTCTTAATCAGAGTTAAACCAAGACTGTGGGTGGTTGGCAGGTGCTCAGGTGCGGTTTGTTTCTTCTTTCCTATCAAACGTCTATCGTCTTTATCTCCCATCCTTCTTTTTGTGTTTGTTACTCTCTTGTAACACCTCTAATCTTCGGCACTTATACGACCTTATTGTGTTGCAAGTGCGGTAAAACTCTTACTAAAATTAAAACCGATGTCATAATCAGAGTCAAACCTAGACTGATTATCGCTGCCTTTGATGTCATGGTAAGGCCATTTGCAGTTTGTGTGCATAAGACACGAATCCTATTCCGAGAAGTAGAAGTCTGGGGA